TAACTAATTTTTCTTCAAGAGAAGCTAGCCCAAAGTTTTCAATTTCAACATTCTTTAGTTGCACATCCTCAATCTTTTGTGGCAGTCCTTTGACTTGTTTCGTCTAGTTTTAAATTTCTTCATTGTAGGCCATTACCTTATCTTTACCCTTGGAGGTTTAGGCCTCAAAATCATCAACTTTATTTTGAGTCTGAGCCAATGGGTTCCATTATTAGGATATAACGTCACTCTCTTGCTTAAGTTTTCTTGTAGGCTCTTTTTTACTTTGTACATTCTGAGTGATTTGGTTGAGAAATGGTTCAAACTCTAGGAAAAAATCAACAGTGAAATCAGGAAAATCTTGATCATTAAGCTACTTCAACAAATCCTTGATGTCAGATGCACTAGAAGGATTTTCTTCAATGTTTTTGAATAGGTCGACTTTGAAACTTTTTCTTTGAATTATTGAAGCAGCTTAGTAATAGGATTACCAAAAGGTTCACTTCCTGAAACATTTGAAGAACTTGGGGATTTTTCAATAGAGCCAGTACTTTGATTGCTCATAAGCTTCTTGAAAGATTTCACTTGATTTCTCTCTTATATAAATTTTAGTTCCTCGTGACTGAGAGAAATGTTAGAGTTCTTGGATGAAGAATCCTTAATTGTATAATGTACAATGCCATCTTGAAATAGGACACTCAATGGTTTCTATAGAAACCTTGTAAGTTTGAACAACCTATGGATGTTCTTTTCCAATAGTAGCAGCCTGAGGTTCTTTTTGACTTTGGCCCTCTGATGTTCGATCAACATTTTGGTTATTTGGTGTCAAATCTACATTGTGTTCCTCTTGTGTTTGATCAACATGCTCTTTGCCTTTTGGTGTAGAAGTGTTGTCATAACAAGGCTAATAATGTTCATGGTTTTGATTTTCGAGATCAGTTAATTAATCTAAAGAATTTTGTTCTATGACCATTCCCTTTAATTTCTCAACGACTGTCTCCCTAATTGGATGTTAAATTAGCATTTGTAGGGATATCGAGTTCGGAGATAAAGTTTTAATGCTAGAGCTTCATAAACAGCTGTGGCATTGTTTACTGGAGGAGTAACAGAACTAAGAGTTTCCTATAAGAAGGAAGAAATAGATCAACATTAAAATTTATTTGATGTACACGAGAAAGAATATATGTATAAAACTAAAGATACCTTGGGCATTTTGTGGCAAAAACTTGAATCTTCACTTTTTGAACATTCATCAGGAATATGTGGCCTTAGCCGGTTCATCTTCTTACGAGTTAACTGGGCACCATCATCATCTTATTCTCCTTTGTCGTAAAGAAACAATTATTTTTTCGATGTTTTTTGTGTACAAGTTTTTTGGATTTGAATTTTCTGTTTCCTGGCCTTTTGAGGTTTTTATTTTTTGGCTACACTTTTCCATGAACTCCAATATTTGGGAGGCATGGGTTCATTTGAAACCTCATCGCTTCCCTCTAAATTGTCGCCATTACCTTTGACTTCATCATCTTTTTTCTTAAACTCTTTGACCAGACTGGAACATTTTTTATTATTAGCACAATAAGTTGAAATGAAACGTGAAAATACTAATAAAAGTGGAAGTGCGCTTTGAACGTGAGTTTCTTCACTGTCGAGAGACGATGTTTCCTTTCTAGTCCTTTTTTTACTTAGAGTAGTAGTGGAACTATCTCTTCCTTTTTTATTCTAGAGCACAAGAGAGGAGGTAAATAAAAATGAACGACTCGACATAAAGAAGACAAAAGGTTGGAAAAATACTTGTTTCGTTTCTTTTGACAGGCTAAGTATTAGGCCATATTCTTCACTTCCTTCAGTTGATTCAAGTTTTTTTCTTCATTGGACCTTTTGGAGGAATAAGATCTTGAGCTAAAAAATGTTGACACAAGTAAATAATATGGACATAAAAGAAGGGTTATCTGTCAAATTGATGACTTTTTGAATGTGAAAGCCTAAACTCGCATTGTAATTATTATCCGTCAAGGTAGTATTAGCCAAAAAATTCATCTTCTTTGGTGAAGAGTGATCGTGGTAAGAATTGTTGAAGCCAAATTGTCTAGCCACCAAGTTGGGTTGATATCCAACAAGCATGAGTCCATCTTTTCCAACTGTAATTATTGTCAAGAGGACAGTGGGTTTGAAAAACTCTACCCAGATGTTGAGGATTTTAGACTGGTTCTCATATGAAGATGTGGGAAATTGTCCTTGGAACTAATCTAGTCTGTAGTTTTGACTGGCGAAAGGCGCCATAGAAGAGTTAAAATTGACGTGATGCATGAACATTAAGAAATACTTCATAAAAGCGTCTTCAGTCGATAAGTCATCATCTTTGGGGGTTAATTAAGCAAGTCTGATGCCTTCGATCCGTCTTACTGAGTCAGGTGAAACACCAGCCTTTAAGAAAGGTTCAAAAGTAGCATTGAGCCAAAGTTGTAGAATCTAAATGGGGCCAAATATTATAAAGTTTTCTTCAGGGTTGTCTCGCTCTTTAAGTTCAATAGAGGAAAGTCCTAAAGATTGGTAGAGATTACCCAATATTAATTTACTAAGACAAACATGTCTCTGTTCATGGAGTTGAGTAGCGGGCAGGATAAACCTCATGGCTACCTAGAGAGAACTAGAACAAAATGAAGTGAGATAGTCATAGGGTGAGAAAAGCAATGTGTTCGTAGTCAAAAATCTCCCATTCTTGTTCATGATGATCTTGAATGTATAGGTGAAAACGAGCATGGGTTAAGGTGAAACTGGGTTTAATCTTGATCTTGGTGTTGGGTCGAAGGTCTCTTCAGTTGGTCGAAGACCAGTGATGGTAGCCATGTCGAAAAGGATGGGAGTCACCATCCCACAAGGAAGTTGAAAAGTGTTGGTTGAAACTTCCAAAAGCAAAGAGGGACAACAAGCATGGTCGCATTGTATCTTGGCTCAGTCTTTGACAACTGGATCAAATAAAAAATACCTTTTTTCTTCTAGATATGTCATTTCTCCTTCTCTACCATATTTAGCCAAGTGATATAAGGTTCACTATGAGTAGAAAGAGAGGAACAGACGACGCATTTGGGTTGTTCCATGAACCATAATTCAAAATATTTATTTTGAAATGCGCGAGGTTTGCAATAAAGTAAACCAGGGAAAACCCCTTTAATTTATCAAGCTTCACACATGAATTAGGTAGAAGACCCATAAATACTAGTGTAGTACCTTCAAGAGAAAAAGGAATTATTGCTTGGGAAACCCAAATGACCGGTTTTTCTTTCTCCATAGGTGCTTTTGGAATGTAGGAGCGATTGTCAGAAAAGACAGGTTTCTGAATATCATCAACAGAAAAGATTGTGGTTTGTTTTCCAATTCCAGAAGTAGAAGCCATTTTTCTAGAGCTTGAGTAAAGGATGAAAATGAAAGTTGTGGGAAATAAGAGCTCTTAGGTTCAGAGAGAGAGAGAGAGAGAGAGAGAGTAATATTGCGAAGAAGAAGAAGAAAGAAGCAAAAGAAAAGTTATATATAGCTCTGGAAGTGAGAATTTCCAGTTGCTCTCGCTGAAGTTAAAACCCACGGACGTCTATATTTCTATTGTTTTGTTAAAATCATTAGTAATTAGATGATTTTACCTTGTCATTTAATATGGTTGATTTTTGTGTCCAACAATGGCCTTAGAAAACATAGCCATGATGGTAGGTGCCTGCACGTTGCAAACGTGACGGTTGAGTGAAATCAGACAGGATGACAATGAACGACAGAGGTCATAATGGCAGTGACATATGTAAAATGGCTTGAATAATGTTAGGAATTTGACAAGAAATGTCATTTTTCTGCCATATTGCATATATGATCGAAAAATAACCTTCTTGGAGGGCATATGTTAGCCTGTAAGTTTTAGTTTTGCGTTTCGACATGAAGATATAATACAAATGTGTGAAAATGTTGAATGTAAGACATCTTAATCGTTTCAACATAGGTGATGAGTTTGATTTGTTTATTTAAAAATGCTAAGCTCGATTCGCCTATCAAGAATTTTAGGACTTAGTACATTTTTGAGCATGGGCAAACCCAACTAGAATTGAACAGGGCAATTGAATCCTTTGGATTTTGAAAGTTTGTATCAATAACTTTTATTTTTCTTTTTGCACCGCTAAATTTATTTAGTTTGCACCCCCTAAAGAGAACATTTCTTACAAATTTTTTTATCTTCATAACTATAAAAAATTTGTATCCCACTTTTAATTTAAACAATTTTACTCCATCACTTTAAGTGTCTTTTTTTCATTTACTTTATCTTGTAAAACAATTATGTCGTTTACTTCTTTAAATTCTTATCCAATTGCTTTAAATTTAAACATAAAATTAAGCACAAACACATTTTTTCAAGCTTATCAAACAAATTGTTCTTTGAATTTTTTTAAATTTAATCATATAAGTGAATTAAAATTTATAATTTCTTTACTAAAAATATCAATAGACAATAATATAAAAATAGAATATAAAATTTCTTAATTAAAAATATCTTTTTATATTATATTTTATATTTATCAACAAATAAATCTGTTACTTTAGGAAATATTAAAATTTTTTAATTAGTTATGAGTCATCGATTATAAACTATTAATCATCATTCTAATAACTAGTATTAATCAAGTTATCAACTATCAAATATTTTAACTAGTATTAATCAAGTTATCAACTATCAAATATTTTTACTAAACAAAATCTTATTAGAGAAATAGCAATGAAAGACTAAACAAAATCTTATTAAAAAAATAGCAATGAAAGACTTTGATTTATGATTTAAATAAAATCTATAATTATTAGAACAAATTAACAGATAACTGGAGAAAATTAAAATATAGGCATGCAGTTACACATGTAGTATTAAAAACCAATAACCTTCTTCGTCTTTACCACAAAACCTATAGTATATAAACGAGCAAGACATGCATGAAACTAAGCTCACTCTATAAGAGGTAGATAAGCTTTTAGACCCGTTTCCCATTAAAACCATGATGACAACCAAAACTCATGCGGCTCTTATAGCCAGCCCAGGTCTAGGACACCTAATTCCCACAGTCGAATTAGGCAAACGTCTTACCACTCACCACGGTTTCCACGTCACCATCTTCGTCGTCACAACCGCCACCAATTCCTCAAAAACAACAAAATCACCTATTCTTCAACAAACATCCAACCTTAATGGCTTGGACATTATTGTTACACCTCCTGTCGATGTCTCCAACAAGCTTGACTCAAAAAACCCACCCTTAGTTTTAACAATCGGTTTAACTATGATTGAATCCCTTCCTTTTATTCGATCCAAAATCTTATCCATGAAGTTTCCACCATCGGTTCTTATCGTGGACCTCTTCGGTACTATAGCTTTACCCATGGCACGTGATCTACACATGTCTACTTACGTTTTCTTTACCACCAACGCTTGGTTTAATGCTGTTACCATGTATTTTCCTTTCATCACTAACGAAGCGTTTTCAAGACATGCTAATAATCACGAACCGCTTTTGATTCCGGGATGTGAACCGGTTCGGTTTGATGATACACTCGAAATTTTTGTTTCTCCCTGCAGGCCTCTTCACGAAGGTTACGTTAACGCGGCAAGAGATATACTGTCCGTTGATGGGATTTTGATGAACACGTGGAAGGATCTGGAACCAGGAACTACTCATGCTGTTATTGATAATGATATTTTGGGACAGTTTGCAAAAGGACCGGTTTATCCGGTTGGACCGATTGTAAGAACTGTTGAACCGGTGGAGAAGAAGGAGGGACAAAGTGAGAATTTTATATTCAGTTGGCTTGACCGGCAACCGGCTGAGTCGGTGATTTACCTGTCATTCGGGAGTGGTGGGACCATGTCGGAAGTTCAGATGAGAGAGTTGGCTCACGGGTTAGAGCTGAGTCAACAGAGGTTTGTTTGGGTGGTGCGGCATCCCGCGCAAGGTGATCCATCGGCGGCGTTTTTCGACACGACCAAGGGTGGTGATGAAATGATGGTGGAAGATTACTTGCCGGAGGGGTTTGTGAGCAGGATGAAGGATGTGGGGATTTGTGTCCCCTTCTGGGCCTCACAGGCTGGGATTTTGAAACATCCTGCGACGGGTGGTTTCGTGACGCACTGCGGTTGGAATTCTGTGTTGGAGAGTATCCTTAATGGCGTTCCAATGGTTGCGTGGCCGCTATATGCAGAGCAAAAGATGAATGCAACTATGTTGTCCGAGGAGCTCGGGGTGGCGGTGCGGGCGACTGCGGCGGAGGGAGAGGTTATTTTTAGGGAACAGATAGCGGATGTGATTAGAAGAGTAATGGTGGATGAAGAAGGCATAGCTATGAGGATTAAAGTTAAGGAGTATAAGGTAAGTGGAGAGAAAGCTCTGTCTATGTTTGGTTCTTCTCATAAGTCGCTTTGTCAGATGGCCAAAGACTGTAAATTTCATGATCTCAATCAAAGTTCTGATGAGGTGAAAGCTAGGGGTGCTTAGGCAATACTGTATTTTAAAGCGAGTGTGTTTTTAGCTAATTTGCTCTTTTATTTTATTTAAGAATATGCTATTTTTAATTAAATAAATTATTGTTTTTACTTTTTTAAGAAGCAAAAAAAAGTTAATTAAATTAATGATATATTTCTTTTATATATATAAATTTTTTGGATGACAAAACAAATCTTAAAAATTACATTAATTGTCTTAAGAAAACCAACATGTCATCTCAAACAATTTGAACACTCTGTTCTAATATTTAAAACAAATCTTTAATAAATAAAAAAACCCAAAATATTCATTTATGTCAACATTAACAATATTCTAATTTTCAATAAAAAATTGTGATCTTTTATAATAACTTTATCAAAACTTTTTTATATGAGATTTAGTTAACTTATCAAAATTTTCATTTGAGATTTAGTTAACTTATCAAGATTTCTTTAAATTTCTCATATTCATATATAGGAGATAATTAGAAGGCATAGACGAAGAATGAAAAGAAGAAGAAAAAAATTAAAATCTTAAAATTTTAAGTTTTTGGATCAAATTTGCAGTATTGAAATTTAAATTAGATAGATAATATTGAAGTTGAATTAGTAAATAAAATTAAGAGATAATTATCTATTAAAAAAATACAAATTAAAATTACCAATAAAAAAATTAACAATTAAAATATAAAATGCTAAATTACTATTTGGTCCTATAGTTTTATTTGATTTATAAAATTATTTCTTATTTTAAATTCAAATAACTTTAGTCCCACTCTTACATTTTTTATTGAAAGATTGTTGAGATATTCGTTTTTTTAACTTATATTTTTATTTTTATTTAGTGACTTTTTAAATATGAGAACCCCTTAAATACGAGAATTCGCTCACTTTATTTTAATCATTAATCTCAAACTCAATAAATAAATTTCAGAAATGTTGAATACAACTCAACAAAACAATATCGTGATGTATAATCAACACAACTACTTTGTTCTCAAGCTTATAGAATTAGTGTCTTGAAATAAAGCTTTACAACTCAACTAACAAACCAACAACTATGTCAAATTACTGAAGCATGGTGTGGTGTATAAAAATTAGATCCAACACTAATCTTTATAATATGAGTGATAACATTAGCGTGGAATACAAGAAACAAACGACTCACAAACTCTAGGCACTAAGAACTTAATATAACGCACAAACCCCAAGTAAACATGAGAATTGAGTCTCCTTATATAGCAATGTCTTTTGGACTTTTTCCTCTTGAATCGTTGAATTAAATTCGTTCAGAATAATAGCTGAATCTTATTGGATTTGGTATGTTCCATACAAATCTCCAAAAGATTTTATTTGTTACCTTCAAATTCAAATTCAAATCTCCATTTAAATTTGATTTGATCGTCAAACTCTCAAACAAATATTTCTAAATAATCTACGATAAATCAGATTGAATCTCAATAAAAAATTTCGCACCAACCAACATCGATCATGGTTTGCTGACCAGGATCAGATGTTGCACTACACACATGTTGGAACATCGTGTTCCATATATTACACCGGTATATCCAAAATAACTATTCTTCATGAATTGTATATCTTCTTTGCAAAGTGAATCTTGAATAGAATAATTCTGAATCAAATCTGCAATACCATCTCTTTGTTGCTAGAGACCAAATATTGCAACATCATATTCCCAATGTGTCTCTTTTTCACAAGAAGTAGCTTGAACAAATTCGTGTTGTTTTATCTAATGCACTCAGTCTCAAAAGGAACAACATTTTTATACAATGATTTGTCATATTTCAAAAAAATATCATTTAAATAATAAAAACATTGTTGATTTTAAGTGTAAAAATATGAAAGAGAGACAAAAACAATTTAAACTTAAAATAAAAAATCAATATCGTAAGTCACGTAAAATAAGAGACTTGGGAGGTTTGGTAGTCGAGTACTTGTTAAGGAGTGGAAGCAGAAGAGTTAGTCTTGGGAGGTTTGGTTTAAAGTCCTAATCTTAGAATCGAGGACCTTCCTCCTCCCAGGGCGGATTCAATATACTTTCTACCACCCCTTGACTGGGCTTTTGCTTCATCTTCGTGTTTTCTGGTTGGCTGTTTTAGTTACTTGAGATTGGATATGGGTATATATGAGAAATGGGTGGAGGTCCGCATGGGAAGAAATAAAAGTGAGAAACAAAATTGGAGATATATCTGTACTGCAAGAGAGGATAAGGCTGCAATGGGGGTAGATGATAAAGAGGCATCCTTCTTCTTCACTGAATTCCCGAATAATTTTGAAGCCAAAGAAATGTTTGATACCTTCATAGAATACAATTTGGTACTGGAGGTGGTTATCCCATCGAAACGAGACAAACGTGGAAAGAGATATGGATTTGTCTGATTCAAGAACGTGGAGAACAAAAGACTCTTGGCCATTAAACTCGATAACATCTTGATCAAGGGCAGAAAACTACATGCAAACCTACCAAGATTCCAAAGAGTTGAACCCTGAATCCGAAAAGGGGAAAGCTTTCAACAAGGTCATAAGTTTAATACTCAACTGGGGAAAACAAATGCAGATGCTCCTAAAAGTAGACGAACAACATTCCCTCACATTTCGTTCGCCCATGCGGTGATGAGACATTCATCAGGGCAGAAAAATTTTTATTTAGAGGGTTATTTTCAGAATAAAGGATTTTAACTAAGGAACCCTGACAAAGATTTTCTCGGTTCTAAACCCTCATTCTCACATCTACAATACAACATTGAGAAGAATGGTATGCAAAGATTCAAGAAGGCGTTCATTGGGGTGGTTGAGGAATATGAATTGACATATAATATTAAAGACGCAATGTTAACTGAAGGATTTTTTTCACATAAAAGCAACACCTATAGGTGCAAATATTTGTCTTTTAGAAGAAGATATTGAAGGAAACATTAAAAAATAGATCAGGGGAGAAGAAAGTTGGGTATCCCATTGGTTCTCTGAGGTGTATCCATGGTCGCCTGACAATATAGACAATGAGAGACTCACCTGGATACGTTGTTATGGATTTCCTGGCCATGTATGGTGCACTGGATTCTTCAAATTCTTAGTAGGTCGAGTGGGAACATATATCCGATCGGACGAGGAAACTGAACAATTGAAAAGAATGGATGTAGCGAGGTTTTTGATAAGGACGAAATTTGCAATTAATCTTAATGAGATTTTTAATGTCGAAGTGAACAAAAGAATTTACATAATTGAATTATGCAAAGACAACCATGGCCCATTGAGAATTGGAGTTTCAAATTGGAAGCGTATAGGGAGTTCATCGGAATATTCGAGTTTTGAAGACGACGGTGATGGAGGTGTGTGGTGGGACTCCATGGAAAAGGAAGAAGATGGAGCAAAGGATTATCCAACAGTCAATAGGGAGGTGGAGAGCGATAATGCAAAAACTGCTCCTGGTAGCATCGGAAGGAGCTAGGGGAATTAGGGCGGCGCAAAGGAAATTGTAATATAGGGAAGGGTTCAGATAAGACAAATGTGTCTCCTTGTAAAGCAAAATTCAAGAAAAATAATGTCATGGGAAGTATGTCAAGAAATAATAGGTATTTTTTACCAAAGAATGGAGTAGCTGATGGGGAAAACGTGAGATTTGGACCTAACGTCCCAAATTCCATTTCAGACCCTACTGGAGGTGGCCCAAAGATGTGCAATAAGCCCAGGAAAAAAAAGCTATTGTTGGATATCTATTAAAACTTGAAAATTCCTTTCTTTCCATCCTACTACTCAACCCTGATTCTATCCAGAAACCCCAACTTGGATCTACCCCCTCATTCCCCAAAACCTCTAAATCATGACTTCTCTCTTAATAGCTCCTTTGTTGAAGACTTTTTATCTCACTATTCACGCAGATCGGTTCTGTGTTGCAATTTGATTGAAGATTCAGATGTTAATTTCAGCAATTCGAGAATTCTAAAGAAGATTGAAGATGCACTTTTAAGGGTATGGGATTCAACAAAAAAAACTAGGGATTAAGGGAGATGAGGACGATGTAGTTTTTGAAAACATAATCAGAAACATGGTTGAGTCTGATAATATTCAAAAGAAAAGTCTGTTGGCGAAGGAAAATAGAGGCCAATGAATCTCTTGAGCTTTAATATTAGGGGATGTGGCAGCAACACAAAGAGAGGCAGAATCAAAGAAATCATTTCAAGACGTTTGGCTTATGTGGTGTTTTTGTAGGAAACGAAATGTAAAAGTATGTCAGATAGTATCGTTGGTAGTTTATGGTGATACTCTGAATTTGATTGGTCGACATCATATTCATCTGGTCTTTTAGGACGTATGCTGACTACTTGGAGAAAGGAGTTGTTTCAACCTACAACTAGCTTCCCTGGGCAAGGTTTTATTGGGATTTTTGGTACTTGGAATTAAAAAAAAATTGTATTTAATTAATGTTTACTCATTGTGTGAATTGGAAAAAAAGATAAATATGTGGGCTGATCTGTTGAATTTTAAGTCTAAATCAGATCCAGGGGAATAGGTGATTGTTGGGGATTTCAACACCGTAAAAAACAGCGAGGAATGTAAGAATAAAAAATCCCATAGTAAAGCTGAGATGGAAGACTTCAAAGCATTCATAGAGCTTATGAATTTGATGGATTTACCTACACTGGGTAACAAATATACTTGGTTTTGTTCATATGGCAAAAGTGGTAGTAGGCTTAACATATTTCTCGTATTTGAAGGTGTGCTGAAATATTGGAATTCGATGGTACAATTGATAGGGGATAGAGATATATTCGATCATAGGCCCATTTGGTTGAAAGCTCGAAACGTTAACTGGGGTCCCAAACCTTTTAAAACCTTTAATGCTTGGTTTGAATGTCATACCACAAATGTGTACTACATGTGTTTAACTTTCACTTGTGTAGCTATCCATTAACCGTTATTTCAAAAATTCAAAAGTATGTTGCCTCTGCTTGTTATATGGACTCAGGGGATCATAAAGTGATTTAAATTAAA